GTATTACATATTAGTAGGTTAATGTGGACATTATTTCACTGTTAAACATTAGTTCTAACTTTTTCACAGAATCAGTTTCTTATTTTCCTAATCTCAGTTACAGTAAACTGATGTTTCCTCATGCACATGTTTCATAGCATATTCATAATATAAACAAACATAATAATATGGGATGTCTAAATGACAGAAGGATAATAAAGAATGTCTGAATAACAGTAGTTTGTGGGGCTAAATGATTAATACAGATAGAACACCATTTGCCCTTCCCAAAGTGTTTTAATTTGATTGCCAAAAAATGCATGTTGGTCATGTAAACATGATATATTTTCTAAGGCTAGCAAAACAGAGAGAATTGTATGTCAAAGATGACCAGAAAGCAGAGGTAAACTTTCTCAAATATGGGTAAAATCAGGGTAAATTGTATTGACCAAAAGGAATTCTTACAATGTTCTAAATATTAAAACAGTAGGAAACCATTACTGATGTTTTTTGTACCGTCCTGGGTTCTTATTCTTAAAATTAACTCAGGAAAAGAAACAGTGAAGCTCACTGAAATTATTTTGAAAAATATATTTATATTAAAAATAGTAAGAGTCATGACCGCAAAAAGACATAAAATTTGATTTGTGTCATATCCATGCCTAAAACTTCCTGGGCTTCCCCCCCCGCCCCAGTTCAAATCACTTTAATTCAATAACCCTTTTCAAATGCCTTTTATGTGCCAGGTACAGTGTTAGACTTTGAAGAGGATACAAAGTGAGTGAATGCATAGACCTAGTTCTGAAGGTAATCATAGTCCAACAGTTGATGTCAAATGTAGACAATACCTACATGGTAAAATATGTGTTAGGTAAGGTTATGAGAGAAAATATTTAAAGTAATAATTTGCAGGGCACCTGGGTGGCTCAGTTGGTTAAGCATCTGCCTTCTGCTCAGGTCATAATCCCAGGGTTCTGGGATCGAGCCCCGCATCGGGCTCCCTGCTCAGTGGGGAGCCTGCTTCTCCCTCTGCCTCTGCTGCTCCCCCTGCTGTGTTTTCCCTCTCTTTGTCAAATAAATAAATAAAATCTTTAAAAAAATAAATAAAGTGATAGTTTGCAATCTGATTAAAGAGAAAATCTTGAATGCCATCTTTATAGTTAGAACTTTATTCTGTACTCCTTAAAAACTTTTGAGCACAGGGCAGTTATGTTTTGGTTGTGCTTAAATGACACAGAGGGGAAAAAATGAGCAAAGCTGTCTTTTGTTTATGTTGTTCCATTTTATTTTTCTCCTTTCAACCACTATTCTCATCGATGTTAAGAAATAGGGAGAAAAAAGATCAACTTGCTAGTATTGACTATTATATATCCAGTGCAATTTTGAGACCATTATTTCATTTCTTTATGGAATTGTTTTATTGTTGTTCTTGTTCGAGACAGATTTTCCTGTAAACATCACAAACTGGAATTATTTGAAGACAGTGTTACAGGGATTTAACAAAAATAGAAATAACAATGATTTACATAACTTTTGCACTGAATTTATTTAGTAACCTAATTAATTCCGTGACTTGCTCCATATTTTATTCCTTATTTTCTATAACTTTTTTCACCTCATTGTGAGCCTAGGCTCCTTAAGCTTTATATACAACATATATAAATATATCTATCTCTAGATTTCATATTTATATTTCTATATTTCGTATTTATACTTTAGTATTTGAGAATATGTTATGGGTAAGTTTGCACACAGCTGCAGACAGCGTCTTCACAAGTCTAAGAAATGTGTCCAAGGCCAGAGAAAAATCTTTATTTAGCTTACCCTGATTTAGTCAATTTTATGGATTTCATAAATTCTTTGTAAGGATAGACTGTTTTCTTTTTAATTTCCAAATTGGTTCAGTTTTTTTTTTTCTGCAATGAAAATCTCACAGGAAATCAATAACCTTAATTTTTTATCTTTAGCATTTTTAACAAAGCATGAAATCTGAGAGAAATAGTGGCTATTACTCTTTGTATCTGAGTTTTATCAGAAAAGCAGAACTAGTGTGGGAATTATGGAATAATGGACTCATTGTGAGACCTGACGCAATTGTGGACGAAGCCAAGGAATAACCAGGAGTCTTGAAGGAAGGGGAGCTGGAGAGCAAGGGAAGAGCAAGGACAAACGGACCCACCACCCCCTTCGCACCTACTTCCACCACATCCAGCCACAGTGGCATTCGAAGTGCAATGGCCACTGTTTAATTTCCAATCTCCAAACCTGCAGATTTCTCTTTTGCCTAACTTGAACCAGGAGCTATACAGGAAAGGGGATTCTGAGAAATGGTTTTCGGCCTGGCCAGGTTGACATAATACACAACCACTGCTATTTTAAAAATCATTTACATATTCATTCATTTAGTTATTTAATAGGAACTTACTACTTGCCAGGCTCCTTGTTAATTACTGAAGATAAAATTATAAAAAACAACACCCCCCCTCCTCAAAATTCAATTTTTTTCAGGGACAAAAATACAAGAAGCAATTAGAATAAATTGTAAGAAGAAGTACAGGTAAAAAATGGGAGGGGATAGTTGAGTTCTTTATTATTTTTTTTAAGATTTTATTTACGTATTTGAGAGAGAGAGAGCACAAGTCGGGGGAGAGGGAAAAGCAGACTCCCCACTGAGCAGAGAGCCCTCCTCGGGGCTCCATCCTGGGACTCTGAAAACATGACCTGAGCCAAAGGCAGAGAGGCTTAACTGACTGAGCCACCCAGGTGTCCCAGTTGAAGTCCTTTAAAAGAGTTCACCAGTGAAGGCTTCCTAGGCAAGGAGACATCAAAATGGATACCTGCTGGAGGGGCTCAGGTGCTGGATGGGGAGAGAAGTAGAGGAAGGAATGTAGCACGAAAAGCCCTAGAACCAAGAGAGATGGTGGTGTCTTGGGAGAACTGGAAAAAGTTCAGGGTAACTAGAATGCTGAATTCTCAAAAGAAATGGGTAACTTGTGATGGACAGATCACTGTTTCTTTGGTAAATTGTGTTACATGTATTTAATTTTTTTCCTGCTCCCATACTCATTTCAATAGTCATTCATTTATCTGAGGATTGTCACTTTAAAAGTTCCTCTGATGCTAGTTAAGAGTGTGTTTAATTGGTATTATTGTCTCACAACAGATGTTTTAGAAATATGTAAGTCAGATAGAAACTGCATTTTATTTTAAAATCTCAATTTAAATTTGTCTAAGAGAATATAAACAAGAACATGTGTTTAAGCATGTTTTTCTCGCTCTCCATATCTTTCTAGCAGCAAGTCCTTTCCTTCTGGGTGGTCACTATTGTGGTCTTTGTTTTTATACAAGGGAAAATACAGGAGGACTCTCCTGTAAACCAAACTACAGTAGAATTTTGCTCAGAATTAGACTGCTAACCACAATCATGCATTCCTTCTTGTGGTTGTTATCAGCATGGTTAATCTCTAAGTACAATGATATGCTGCACTATTCATAATTCAAAAATTGACATATTTGTATGGAGGGAGGAAAAAAGAGAGTATTTCACCTTAGATTCAAATACCCAACCTGTAAAATCCAAAAGGTATGTTTAATAAAGTAGGTAACTGCACAATGTATACCAAAAAAAATGAAAGTTTTCCTCCATATCTACAATAATCAACAGGGAAAAAATTCAACAATAAATATAAAATCATTAGGCAAATTAGACAAATAACAAAAATATGTAGGTCTAAATTATGTAGTAAAGTTTCAATCAAATTGCCAGCAGGAGTTTTACACAGTTTTAAAGGTGATTTCAATGTTTGTTTGTTTCTTAAAGATTTATTTATGTGAGCAACAGAGCATGTGCATGCGTGGGGGGTGGGGAGAGGGAGAGGGAGAAAAGCAGACTCCTTTGTGCTGAGCAGAGCTGACTTGGGGCTCTTTCTCACGACTTGAGATCATGACCTGAGCTAAAATCCAGAGTCAGAGGCCTAACCGACTGAGCCACCCAAACGCCCCTCAACGTTTGTTTTAAGTAATAGTTGTAGCCTGTGTTAGCAGAGCATAGGATCTTGTATAGTAAAATGAATCATGAATCTACAAATATCAAATCAATGTGACACTGGTACAGAAATAGATAAGAAGATTAATGGAGGTGACTAGAAAACACGAACCAGTTTCAGTGTTTGAATGTGTACAAATTTATATGCATCAGGGATTCAAATATGATAAAAGTATCATCTTAAGTCAATGGATAAATACTTATTTCATAAATAGCCCTGGATATTAATTTGCATCTATATATTAATACGCATGTATTACATTTGATACAACTCTGATAAATTCAAGTTAAGTCTTAAAAATTGAAAACTACATTTCCTTTCCTGCAAGTTGATGAAATAAAATAACATGAAAAATTTTATATATATATAATATTTATATAATAATATTTAATATTCTCCTTACACCCGGAATTTATATATATTTCTTTGACAAAGATGTATATAGGGCAACTAAAAGAAAATGATAATTAACTAGTGAAACAAACAAAAAATCCAGCATCTCTTTTTTTAAATTTTATTTTATTATGTAAATCACCATACATTACATCATTTGTTTTTGATGTAGTGTTCCATGATTCATTGTTTGCATATAACACCCAGTGCTCCATTCAATATGTGCCCTCTTTAATACCCATCACTAGGCTAACCCATCCCCCCCAAACCCTCAGTTTGTTCCAGAGTCTCTTTTGATAAAGGAGAATTGTGTTTGATAAATAGTAAATGGAAATATTAAGTTCTTCAAAATAATGAAAGTTATCTGATAGTAGAGCAGAAGTCAAGTGATGAAAAGTTGTAAGAAAGATACAACTGAATATTGAAAATAACACTAACCCAGTTATCGCCCTTATTACATTATTCAGGGTTTATGGAAATGCAACATGACTCATATTTGCTTAAAACTAAAATTTATTCTTTTAAACACATACACACAATTTTAACAAATTGATTCTCCACTTAGAGTCTTAAATCAGAGAGTTAAATAAGAATGAAACAACGGCGTCAGGGTAAAAAAAAACAAAACAATAAAGCGATGGCTTCACAGCAATTTAAAAGTAAAATTTGATGAGATCTAGCCAAATTTCAGTTGCTTAGACTTCAAACACAAACGTCATTTCTAGCATGAAATAATATTCCTGTCCAGGCTGTGTGTGTGTGCGTGGAGGGCGATGTATATATATATAAATTCCGGGTGTAGGGAGAATGTAAAAACCAAAAAGCTGATCTCCTCGATAAAATCACAAGGAAGAAAGATGTTTGAAATAAATAATAGTCTTCCCATTTTGCCTGGGACAGTTGTGTTGTCCCAAGGGTAATTGGACTTCCAACAATGTCTGGGTTTGGATGACTCCAGTAATTATAAACAGGAACTAGAAGCTAATGCACCTGGTCCTGGTGTAGCAGGGGGGAGCGTGGTAGGAATGGAGTTTGTAATTTTGATGTCAGTAAGCTAGAGCATAAGTTTAATGCTCATATGGGAACAGGAAGTGGAGTTTGGAGCCCACCTGAGCAGGAACAGAGTTGGGGCCTTTGAAGTCCACTGTGGTGAATAATATGCTGCTGGATTCCCTTTCAGGAATAAAGGACTTACTATTCCAGTTGTGAGGGATGACTGGCAAACGGTCCCTGTTGCCAGCCCCCTTTGGAAATTATTTCAGCTAAAGAGAGCTGTCTCATTAAAGCCATACCCCTTTCTCAGGGTGACCAACTTCCAGCGGCCGACAGGAGTACAAATGTCTCAAAGCCATACCCCTTTCTCAGGGTGACCAACATCCAACGGCAGACAGGAGTACAAATGTCTCATTAAAGCCATACCTCTTTCTCAGGGTGACCAACTTCCAAGGGCCGACAGGAGTACAAATGTCTGACCCTGTTTCCTCAGTGGGAAACAACTAGAGAGGGCCATCCCAACTCCAAAGCCACACAGAGGGTGAGCAAAGGCATTTAATACAACTGCATCACACCATTCATTTGTATTTCCTTCCTTTCCCTTCCACAGGGGTTCACCTCAAGAACACTTTCTAACAAATAGCTTGAACTCTAAACTTTTTTTCAGTATTTTTTTCTGGAGAACTCAATCCGTGACTTGTGAAAGAGTGACCTAGAGATAATCTGGTGAAAGAGTGACCTAGAGATAATCTGCCCCATGACACAGGAAGGCTGCCTGTCTTTCTCAAGATTCTGGGTAGAAGGGCGAGAAAAAAACCATCTGACAAAACTAAGTGCTGGATATGTGGCCATGCTTATGCTGAGGTCCAAATTTGCTCTTTCTTTGTTCAGGAAGCCTCATGCTGAAAAATTATGAAATCTATCTTTATTCAGAGCTAGCACCGTACTTCACTGCCATAAAAAGGAGTGCTAAGCCTCTCTCAGGGGTAATAACACCACCCAAACTGGAAATGATTCCCCAAGCAAAAAAAAAAATAGAAAGAAATAGTGTTAGCTACTAAAGATGAATTCACAATAAAAATTTACAAAACAAATCAGGAAAATTCACTATGGATTAATTGGTAGACATAAATATACCGGGGCATTAGTTTCAAGAACTTTCAAGATAATTGATGGAAAATTTTAAATCAGTATTTTTAAATGAATAGATTTAAAAATAAAATGATTAGTTTTTAAAAACAAGATGCTATGAAATACTAACTTTAGATTGTAAAAGAACTAATGTGAACTTCTAAAATGAAATAAAAACATTATAATTAAAGGAGAAAAAAATCTCAGTGGACAAATTAAAGAAACCAAAGAGAAAATTAGTAATTTGTAATATAGAATTGGAAAAATCACCCCAAATGCAGTAGAGAGATATAAAACTTGAAAATTATGAAGGAGATTATGACACACAGTGTAATGAGATGGTGCAACACGTCAACTCTAAGTTTCAGAAGGACAAAACAGAATGGCAGTGAGGCAATACTGGAAAAACAATAGCTGAAAATTTTTTTGAATAGATGAAAGGCGAGAATCATAAGACTTGAGAAGCACAGTGAGTTAACAGCAGGATAAATAACAATTAGCCATCACCTGGACACAACTTAGTGAAAAGGTGTAACACTGAGACCACGAGAAACTCTTCAAAACAACTATAGAAAAACCTCAGGCAGCCTGCGAAGGAAAAACAATTAGGCAAGATGTTAAAATGTCTGCAATAGTCTAAAATGTCAACAACAAAAGAGATCAAAAGACAACGAGAAAATAGGTTCAACTTCCATTAGGGTAATAAATGTTCCACTAGAATTCTAGACTCAGCTAAATTGTTGTTTAAGATTCTACTTAAACAGATGGAGAATATATACAGGAAATGACTTGCTCATTTTAACATGCTTAAGATAATTGAATTTTATCCTCTCTACATAGTTACAGTAAGAAATCATTGGCAATGACCAAAGCTTAGTTTTATAACACTTGTGGGGTCTTTGTAGCTCATATGCCACTTTAACATTTCTATGTAGCCTTCAGACGTATTACGCGCCCCCCCCACACACACACACAGCCTGGACAGGAATATTATTTCATGCTAGAAATGACGTTTTGTATTTGAAGTCTAAGCAACTGAAATTTGGCTAGATCTCATCAAATTTTACTTTTAAATTGCTGTGAAGCCATCGCTTTATTGTTTTGTTTTTACCCTGATGCCATTGTTTCATTCTTATTTAACTCCCTGATTTAAGACTCTAAGTGGAGAATCAATTTGTTAAAATTGTGTGTATGTGTGTTTAAAAGAATAAATTTTAGTTTTAAGCAAATATGAGTCATGTTGCATTTCCATAAACCCTGAATAATGTAATAAGGGCGATAACTGGGTTAGTGTTATTTTCAATATTCAGTTGTATCTTTCTTACAACTTTTCATCACTTGACTTCTGCTCTACTATCAGATTAACTTTCATTATTTTGAAGAACTTAATATTTCCATTTACTATTTATCAAACACAATTCTTTATCAAAAGAGACTCTGGGTTTTTTGTTTGTTTCACTAGTTAATTATCATTTTCTTTTAATTGCCCTATATACATCTTTGTCAAAGAAATTAATATTAGCTTTGATGTTTAAAAAACAATGCTGTAATTTTTTTAATAAAAAGGGGTATTTCTGGTTGTACACCATTTGTTTGCCTTGGATATAAAAATATATTTAGTGTTTTCAGTTTTGCAAGTGAGAGCATTTTAATAAGTAAGGTCTAGTGTGCTATCAACATTATTGGCACCCATTTTCTTCCCTTTAGGAAGGATGAATCATCAGTAGCCAAACTTGAATAATGACACCTAAGATTCTGAAACGTAGCTTGTAAAAAGCACTGAGGGTTCCACAGATGTTCTCGAGTGGTTACTGAGAAGTAAGAAGTAAGGAGTCTTCAGCTAATAGTAACTTGTATCTGTTTGAGTATAAATGGCTTACCCTAAAGTCAAAGAGGCTGTTCAACAGTAACAAGAAAAAAAATCAGTGGAAATATGAAAAAATCCAATCTATCAAGCAGATACTATACTTCTATATACTGAACAAAACATGATTTTTAATTGAATTTTATTAATATGGGTGTTCCATACTGTATAAATACTAGTATAAAATTGGTACAGTGTTAAAGATAGATTCATATTTGAGCATGAAAATAAATTTCTAGTTCACCATGCCTACTCTATGTTGATTTGCCTAAGTAAGTTCAATATTTAACCATTACAAAATATACAGGAAAACATTTTTTTATCGTGGGAAATTGAAAGTGTGGCATTAATGGAATACATCATGTGGAATTCCCTTCTGGTGTTTCATTGCAATTCATTAAGTATTGGTTAGGTTTCTACTCTGTATTGGGCACTTTGTTAGATTTTGGAACATTCTGGAGTCAAGGATCCAAGACATAGGTACCAAGAAGAATAAAACTGACTTAAAACATCCTGCCATTTAAGGAGAATGCAGGCATGCAAACAACCAGATACAGGGTAGGATGAAGTATGCCTTAAAATACGATAAATAGCATATACTGTGGTCACTCAGAGGATGGACTGATCAAGGCTGTGTGAGAGGATTCAGATAAAGCTTTAGGTGGGAAGAGATATTTGAATTTGATTTGTGAGGTGCATCAGTGCTTTTCAAAGGTGGAGAGTAGATGGGTAAGCAGGGCAGATTAGATTACTTTAGGTTAAAACTTTGATAAATGCCAATGTAGTCCGTTGAAGGAAACATTTAAGGTTTTTACACTTTTCTTAGAAATAATGATATATACATGTTGTTAAGGCATTTACTAGGTGCCTTGTGTTTTATTTCCACTTAATAAGAATGGTATGACATAGGCATTACTATCCTATTTTACTGGTGCAGAAACAGGCTTAGTGAGTCTGCTATAGAATTGTACTGAGAGCGTTAGTGGCTATATTTGATTTATATTATTGTACAACAAAATACCATCATTTTAGTGGCTTGAAACAATGCCCATTTATTATCTCATGGTCCTCTGGGTCAGAAGTACAAGTACAGGTTAGCTCAGTCCCCTGATCAGGGTCTTGCCAAACTGACATCAAGATACTAACCAGGGCTGTGGTTCTTATCTGAGGGTTGGGGACCTCTTCTGAGCTCATTTGTTGTTGAAATGATTTATTTCCTTGTGACTGTGACCTAGGTCCCTGTCTTCTTGCTGGCTCTTGGTGGGGTCCACTCTTAGCACCTAGAGGTTGCCCATAGTCCCCTTCCAGCAGATTCCCATGGGAAGTTCAGTGTGAATGTGTTTTCTTCCAAGCTAGCAGGAGCTGATCCTTCTGACTTCTAAATACCTCTACAGACTCCCGGGCTGGAGTCTTCTATGATGGAAGGCAATCACTGAGTGACAACCCCATCACCACGTGGCATAAAATTGAAGCTAAGAATGAGTAACTATCCCATCATATTCATATGCACATGTTCCACCCACATTTGAAGGGAGGTGATACAGGGTGTGTACACCAGGGGGCAGAAGTCGTGGAGGCCCTCTCACAATTCTGCCTCTGTGCTCTGCCCTTCCTAAT